CTGCAGCTGCTGCTGGCCTGAGATTTCATACCTGAATCGGGTCAGGCGGGAGAGAGGCCAAGGAGGGTTCCACAAACAGACCCAAGAGACTTGGCTGTCCACAGGGGGCCCCTGGAGCAGGGACTCAGTCGTGGGGAGCTCAGGGTAGGCTTTAGGGCCTTGGGATGGGGTATGTTGCGAGGGGGCAGGGGGGCAGGCAGGGGCTGAAGGCTCTAGGATTCTTTCCTGGCCAGAAACTTCATTCTCTCCTGTGCTCCATGGGAGGAGGCCTGGGGCAGTTCTTCACCTTGCACTCCTCAATGGGACCCCATTGGCATTTGGGGCTTGACGGTGCTTTGTAGTCCTGTCTGTCTCGCATATTCAATAGTATAGTGTCCTTCAATCATTGTGACTACCACAAATGACCTTTTGCATGTCTAGACCTTGAAGAGGGTAACTCTCTTCCCCACTGAGAACCCAAAAGGATGGTGGATGTCTAGCATCAGGTTCTGGGTGGTGGGAGCTGCTCTCATGACGGCCAGGCACAGGAAGGGGAGGGCAGCATGGGAGGGTTCCCCAGACAGCCTGTCCTGTGCTCATATACCTGGTATTGAGGGGCCCTGGCCCAGAGCCAGCTGCCCTTTGAAGCCTGGTGCTCCCTGACTCAGCTCCTCTTCCAGCCTGGAGCTAGGCCCTGAGTCACTGCCTGACTCACCGGAGAGCCAGCAGGCTGCTGGGACCCTCATGGAGCCTGCGAGCTGGGGTGGGAAAGGGCCACTTGCCCAAATGTCAGCACCGCTCCCTGCCTGGCCTGGGCCGTGGGCATGGGCTGTCAGCTGGGGGTGCAGCTGCAAGGCCTCTGGGTTTGAAATGTCAGGGGATAGATTGTGCTACTTGAATCACGGGAAGCTGGTGTGCGGCACCGTGGAAAGTGCTGGGCACGTGAATCACACAGACCCGGAGGCTGGTTCTGTCTCTTGCTGTGTGACCATGGGTCAGTTTCTTAACATGTCCGAGCCCCAGTTCCCCACCTGTCAAACATGGGTGGTAATACCCACTCCACAGGGTTGATTGCACTGAGGACAGAGCAGGGCAATGTGACAGTGGAGCTTTGGGGACTGGAAAAGCCGCCATATGTGTGGTTATCACTCTGATAACCTGTGCCTCAGCTCTGAACAGGGCCCTTGCGTACTGCTGAGTCGACATTCTGCTTGCTGTAGATTCAATTAGACATTGGG